CCCCCCGTTCACCCCTGCCTCACTCTGCGCTTAATGATTTATTTTGTTTTTGTTGATTACCCCATTTACGGAAAACGGGTGGCGCCTGTGTCGCTCTAAGCCACATCGTTGAATATTTTCAGCATGTAGTAATTAAAAAAAATGTATTAATCGAGAACCGATCGACGCTACTATCAATACAAAAAGAAATTGCATAGCAATTATACGTGCGACCCGAATTTTTCGTTCTTAATTTACATATTTTGGAAAAATTAAACATAAAGCCAATATTGAGAAACGAACTCAAAGCCCGTCGTATTTCACTGTGCAGTTTATTCTGAATAAATTATGTAAAATTGAAAAAATATAATTCAGCATTCAATAAGAATTTGAGACGAAACCCGCAATGTACTTTGTTATTTTCAATGTCGAACAGTTATTTCGAGTATCGGGAAGTTATTGAAAATTTCGAAAATATCATTTAGGAATTGGACGAGATTGAGAAAGACAATTATTATACTCGAAGCGAAAGGATCTTCCCGGAGGTATTTCAGATTGTCGTACAGCGACAATCTTGAAGAGGGATACCAATTTATGGAGGATTTCGAAACGCTAGCGTAATGCAGCCTGCGAGTGTAATGCAACCCAAGCGAGGCGCAACCACGGTCGCTTGCCTGCGTCCTTCTCTCGTTTCAACACTGTATACTGTAGTTTGTACCGTATACAATATATACAGTATGTATACCCAGGACAGTATACCTACATATGCATCGTACAAGTAACTCTACATTGTATATCGACATTTGCATTTTGCATTTGTCTTCATTGGATGAAGAATCGAACTTATTTCTGGCATTGCAGGGCTCGCTGAAGGAAACAGAAGAACGAAGTTATAGAAAGAAAAATTATGAATATGTGAATCTTTCTCGGAAAGGAAAAAAAAACGACGCCACATATTGAAAGTGTTAAATGGTTCTTATACCTCCTAGTAAAAGTTTTATAAATTAAAATATGAAAAATATAAATTTGATTTTCGGATGTTCCAAGATGTCCAGGGATTCCGTTTGTGTATCGAGGGTGGCGCAGCTAATATAGGTGCGGTTATCGATTTATTTATTCGTCGGGATTACAGCGTTTCGTTTAGAATGGAAAGTTTCGAGAGTGGGAGTAAAGAGGGTAGAGGTGCAAGTGGGATATATTCCAGATGTAAAGGAGGGGAGGCTTAGCATTTCCTGGGAATTATTTGCTACGAATTATTATCACCCGATTTTATTCGTTTCTCTTTGATATTCTCTGCCTCGGCATTCGTTGACTATCTCTAGGTATCCATTTATTAACGTGGATGAACCCCCTTTGTCTCTGAAACTCAATCTCCGAGCTCTCTCAAAATTTTCACTGTCAAATATCTCATCGCGCGAAATTGTTTGCCAATTATTTTGCGGGCATACGATAGTGGACTTTCGTGGACTCGATAGTCCACGAAATTTCAGTTTGCTCGTTGCGCAACAAAAAATAAAATAAAATAAAGAACCCATTCGAAATTTCAGGGGATGATCGCACCTAGGTTCTTTTGATGGCGCCCCTTTAAAA